CAGCATATCAAAGAACCCCATATATTCAATTTTTGTTGAAATCAAACAAAGTTTAATTTTGGACCCAACTTGGACCAACTTGAAAACTGGTCCCATAATCAAAAATCTAAACACATGTTTAGATTCAGCATATCAAAAAACCCCAAAAATTCAATTTTTGTTAAAATCAAACTAAGTTTAATTTTTGACCCTTTGGACCTTAATGTAGACCAATTTAAAAAACGGGACCCAAAATTTAAAATCTAAATACACGGTTAGATTTGGCATATCAAAGAACCCCAATAATTAAATTTTTGATGAAATCAAACAAAGTTTAATTTTGGACCCTTTTGACCTCAATATGAACCAATTTGATAGCGAGCCCACAAATAAAAAATCTAAATACATGGTAAGATTCAGCATATCAAAGAACCCCATATATTCAATTTTTGTTGAAATCAAACAAAGTTTAATTTTGGACCCCAATTTGGACCAACTTGAAAACTGGGCCAAAAATCTAAAATCTAAATACATGTTTAGATTCAGCATATCAAAGAACACCATATATTCAATTTTTGTTGAAATCAAACAAAGTTTAATTTTGGACCCCAACTTGGACCAACTTGAAAACTGGGCCCATAATCAAAAATCTAAACACATGTTTAGATTCAGCATATCAAAGAACCCCAAGAATTCAATTTTTGTTAAAATCAAACTAAGTTTAATTTTGGACCCTTTGGACCTTAATGTAGACCAATTTAAAAACGGGACCCAAAATTAAAAATCTAAATACACGGTTAGATTTGGCATATCAAAGAACCCCAATAATTCAATTTTTGATGAAATCAAACAAAGTTTAATTTTGGACCCTTTTGACCTCAATATGAACCAATTTGATAGCGGGTCCACAAATAAAAAATCTAAATACATGGTTGGATTCAGCATATCAAAGAACCCCAAGAATTCAATTTTTGATGAAATCAAACAAAGTTTAATTTTGGACCCTTTTGACCTCAATGAGGACAAAGTTGATAACAGGGCCCAAAAATCAAAAATCTAAATACATGGTTAGATTCAGCATATCAAAGAACCCCATATATTCAATTTTTGTTGAAATCAAACAAAGTTTTATTTTGGACCCCGATTTGGACCAACTTGAAAACTGGGCCCATAATCAAAAATCTAAATACATGTTTAGATTCAGCATATCAAAGAACCCTAAAAATTCAATTTTTGTTAAAATCAAACTAAGTTTAATTTTGGACCCTTTTGACCTTAATGTAGACCAATTTGAAAACAGAACCAAAAATTAAGAATCTAAATACACGGTTAGATTCGGCATATCAAAGAACCCCAATAATAAAATTTTTGATGAAATCAAACAAAGTTAAATTTTGGACCCTTTGGACCTCAATGTGGACCAATTTAAAAACGGGGCCCAAAATCCAAAAACTTAATACACGGTTAGATTCAGCATATTAAAGAACCCCAAGAATTCAAGAATAAAACCCCATTGAAATTGATCAAGAAATAAGCAATTTATACGAAGTATCTTCTTTTGCACAATACTGTGCAATTGAATATTTCTTGCTATTGTGCAATACTGTACAATTGACAATTTCTTGCTATTGCGCAATATTGTGCTATTGGATATTTCTTGCTATTGCGCAATACTGTGCAATTGAAGATTTCTTGCTATTGCGCAATACTGTGCAATTGAAGATTTCTTGCAATTGTTCAATACTGTGCAATTGAAAATTTCTTGCTATTGCACAATACTTATTATATAATAATTTACACATCCTGTTTGGTGTGTATCTCCTACCATATCATTATTATTTGCATTTAAATATTAATCAGAAATAACCAACTTAAAATGGAAAATTTTAAAAGAAAAAAAAAAGGAAAAAAAGAAAAAAAAAGAAAAAAAAAATCCCCCCCACAAATTTTTTGAACCCCCTTATGATTCATCTCCCCCAAACTCAATCCCAGCCTTCCCTTTGTGGTATGGTACCTTGCAGTACAATTTCAGAGAGATCCATACACTTGAACACAAGTTATTGTCTGGAAACTAGAAAAATGCTTATTTTTGGCCCCTTTTTGGCCCCCAATTCCTAAACGTTTCGGGCAATTACCCCCAAACTCAATTCCAGCTTTCCCTTTGTGATATGGAACCTTGTAGTACAATTTCAGAAATATCCAAACACTTACACACAAGTTATTGTCATGAAACTAGAAAAATGCTTGTTTTTTGCCCCTTTTTTGGCCCCTAATTCCTAAAATTTTGAGGCAATTACCCCCAAAATCAATTACAGCCTTCCCTTTGTGATATGGAACCTTGTGGTACAATGTCAGAGAGATCCATACACTTACACACAAGTTATTGTCTGGAAGTTACAAAAAAGCTTATTTTTGGCCCCTAATTCCTTAACTGTTGGTACCATAACCCCCAAAATCAATCCCAACCTTCCTTTCGTGGTATTGAACCTTATGGTAAAATTTCATGGAGATCCATTCACTTAAACTAAAGTAAGAGTGCGAAAACCAATGTGTCTTCGGACGACGCCGGACGACGCCAGACGACGACGACGACGACGACGACGACGCCAACGTCATACCAATATACGACCAAAAAATTTTCAATTTTTGCGGTCGTATAAAAACAAACAACAGTCGATTCTATAAAACGTCCTATAGTAGATCTATAATGTTCAGACAACAGGGGATCCTGTAGACCGCCCAGGGGATCCTGTAGAACGCCCTATAGTATATACATGAAAAACAAAAACTGGGGATCCTATAGAACGCCTTATATACATGATAAACAACCAACAGGGGAACCTATAGAAGGTCCTATCTTAGATGCATAATTTGCAAACAACAGGGGATCCTGTAGAACGCCCTATAGTAAAAAAATGAAAAACTATCAACAGGGGATCTTATAGAACGTCCTACAGTAGATATATAATGTTCAGATAACAGGGGATCCTGTAGACCATCCATGGGATCCTGTCGAACGCCCTGTAGTATATACATAAAAAAAAAAAACAACAGTCGATCCTATAAAACGTCCTATAGTAGATATATAAAGTTCGGACAACAGGGGATCCTGTAGACCGCCCAGGGGATCCTGTAGAACGTCCTATAGTATATACATGAAAAACAAACAACAGGGGATCCTATAGAACGTCTTATAGTAAATATATAATGTTGAGAAAACAGGGGATCCTGCCGACCGCCCAGGGGATCCTGTAAGCCCTAAAGTATATATATGATAAACAAACAACAGGGGAACCTATAGAAGGTCCTATCTCAGATGCATAATTTTTAAACAACAGGGGATCCTGTAGACCGCCCAGGGGATCCTGTAGTACGCCCTATAGTATATACATGAAAAACAAACAACAAGGGATCACAATTGTTTTTGAGCAACTGTATACTAGGCCCGATTTTTTTAATTATCAAAATGAAGGCCAGATTAATTCGTTTCTTTAAATGCAGACCAGCCCCCTCGAGCCTCGATAATGTGTGTACCTTAATGACGAATAACGATAAAGAACTGGACTATTCAGTTGTTAAATCCCGTTTTTATCACTTCTAAAACTTTGAAACGTATTAAAGCAATAAAGGCAATCATTAGGGACATTCAGACAATGACTGATATGAAAACTACGTGCTTTCCAAATGGAATCCGTCAACAGACATTAGTTTGAACATTGATATTTCTGTCAACAGACGGTGCATAGTTTGATGTGTAAAACACCAGCAGATTCACGTGTGCGCTTGACTCTTTATTATCGCAATAACATACTTAAATATTCTAACTTTCGTTTTAAAAAACACATGTTGTCTAAAACTGGAATATGACTTAATTGTTTGCATTAAAGTTTTGAACGCAGACGGAACAACGAAATCCGTGTATTTTTTCAAGCATCATTGATTTGAAGTTGTACTCTCCACGTATATACTTGACTTTAACTCAAGATGGATTGTATGAATATATGACAATTCTGTTTATCATTATTTTGAAACTTTCAGATACACAATTAAATTTCCCATTTGTGCACATGCGCAGATACGTAACCAACGTGGTTTAAATTAACCTGAATAATCCAGTTGTTTTATTCGGATAATTCCAATTATTAATCTATCAAAGACAATTATTACAACAATCAGTGAGAATTATTATCATGACCTATTAAATGCTCCAAAACAAGCCATCAATTTTTAATTCATTTTTTTTCATGTGTGTTCATGAATTTCGAGAATTTATACCATATAAATATCTGAATAAGTTTATTAAACTTTAATACCCATAATATTATTATTTTTTAATAATTGCAAGAAGGTATAAAACGTCCTTGATAAAAGCAGTCAATATAATACTTCCACGATAAAAGTAAGGAGAAGGAACCCAGGGTGAAAATACGTCTATGGGGATGAACTCAGGGCGAACGGACCAAGGGCGAACATGTAATCTGGGCGAACCGACCCAATACCAAATTCACGCATGCGTACTACAAACTCTACTTTAAAGACATCCAGTTACAAGTAAATAAATAACGTTCATGTAAGATGACATATAATCTAATAATTTACATAAATAAAAGGGTTGATATTAATACATTAAAACATGAGAAATTATAACGCTAACGATAGTGATCGTTTTTCAAGCTCACTAAAAAATAAAATGATGCAGATGCTTAGATCATGTGTAAACATCAGTGTCAAGATATGGCACGGAAGTTGTTATGAAATTGTAAAGCACAGAAAGGGATACGGCATATGTCCTGGTGACGGTTCAATGAATTTACAGCCGGCAGTAAAGGCTTTCAGAAGACTTGAAGTCTTCTTCCACCAAAAATTTGACTCTCACAAGCAAACATGTGTATCTCTTTCATTGTAGTAGAAGAATCTTTTAAACAACATGAATATGTTAAAATTCAAAGGTATAAAGCCTTCCAGTGTATTGCTTAGTGTATTACCTTTCACCGTATTGCTTAGAATCAAATTGAAACAAATTCTAGTTGGATTTCTTTTATTTTTATAAGGTATAGAACTTCCTTCAACATACTCACAATTCTATGCAAATGAAAGTTATAGCATATGATGATAAAGTTTCTTTTTTGAGTTATATGTTGATACATGTATAAGCATCCACTCCAAACCTCAAATCTTTTCCAATAACTTATCTATGTACAATATCAGTTTAAAACAGCTGATATCTTTTGTTAATAAAGTTACACAAAACAGCTGATATCTCTTGTTACTAAATGTATGCTTACATAAATATCATTAATACAAAATCATCACATGTGATGACACAAATGTCGGTCTCTTTTCTTTTAGTTCTAAATTTAATATATTAATCATTTTCTGCTGCTTTATTGACTTGCTCATTTTCTCCTTGGCTATCCAAGCTTTCAAAACTTTGATCAGAAGTGTCTGTTTGGGCTGATTTATCATCTGAATCTATGGCCTTGACATTGTCCAGAATTTTTTGCTTTGCTGTTGTGCATACTTCTAATATTTCTCGTAATCCATTATTTTCTAGCTGTAGTTGAGTGAGTTTTTCATGATCGTGGGCAGACAGCTGATCATCGACAGAAGCAGCTTTCTGCATTACTGCAGCCATTTCACTAATTTTGTCAATAAGTTCTTCAATTTCCTGAAAAAAAATAAATATATACAAGTAAGGAATCTGTGATTCCTTCATTGCTGGTAGTTGCTAGCAGACTTGTTTTTCATTTGTTGTTTTGAGTAAGATTAGGCTGTTTTTAATTGTTTCACATTATGTCATGCTGGGCCTTTTATAGCTTACTATACAGTATACAGTATTGGTTTTGCTCATGGTTGAAGGCTATACAGTGTCCTAATAGTTGTTTACATTCTCATTCTTTTGTCTCTGGTTGATAGTTGTCTCAATTGCAATCATACTACATCTTCTTATTTTCATATACACTGGAATACAGCTAACAAAGGCATCATTTACTGCCAGAAAGGTAAGTACTTTAAGCATGTTCTCATAGCTGCAATCCTTTGTAGGTATGGTAAAATATTGTTTATAATCATTTTGTTTATTCTTGTGATTTTGTCATCTATTAAATCTCAGAGCTTTTTGATTCTGTGCTGACTTTTTGTATGTGTTTTTAATGAGGGTTTGTACGTCTACATGTACTGATCGAGAATGAAGATTTAAATGTGGAGTGTTTAGATCTCAATGTCTAGTTCAACCAAACAAAATATAAATAGGCCAGTCCCAAGTCAGGAATGTAATCAGCGATTGTACTATGTTGTATCATAATGGGTTTGAAAGATAGAGAATTGGATGTTTATGGCAGATATCTTTGATCATAGTGATTATTTCTGTTTTATTTATTCAAAACTTTTAGACTCGGGAGGATTTACAGCTTGACATAATGGTATACAGACATCTGCCAATAGTTGAAGACTACATATGTGTTGACTTATGAAATCATATCAATTCCATGAATATAAGATGATTTCATGTAATTTTCATGGTATAACCTGCATCTTTTATGTCTTGTTTTAGCAACAACAACAACAATAACCCAGGGGTGAGGAAATATAAAAATTCTTCAGTTCTTCAAGGACAAGTACTATACAAAAATTCTACTTCTCCAGAGTTTTTTTCAATTTGTCCCTACTGGTTGTGCAATTAAGGAATTTACTTGTACAACAAGAAAATGGAACATTATTTACTTATATTTTACAGTAGTTTTGGGACAAGCCAGACAAGTCGGCATGGTGCTTCCACATTCTTGACAAAGATAAACTGTGCAGCAATAAATCATATCCTAAGCTTAACCACTGTGTGTGAACTGAGCAGCGGTAAATCATATCCTAAGCTTAACCACTGTGTGTGAACTGAGCAGCGGTAAATCATATCCTAAGCTTAACCACTGTGTGTGAACTGAACAGCGGTAAATCATATCCTCAGCTTAACCACTATGTGGAACTGCATCTTACCCTATTTTTCTGGTCCTGTCTTGTTTTAATTGATTTTTCTACTCTGTTACTTTGTATCAGTTTCATTATTTGTTCCCGATATTTCTGCATGATAAGTTCTAATGCTGACTGATGTTCTTCTAGTGATAGACATAGTTCTTTGTTCTCTTGTTGAAGTTCTCTGATCTGACGATTTTCTTGTGCTATTCCTAACACTAATGTAGAACGTGGTCTGTGTCGAGCAATCTCATTCAGTTCGTTGATGTCATCTTGATACTAAAAATGAAAATATGTTTCCCAAAATACAGATTTTCTTTATGATTTAGAATATGAAGCATACAACATATGAAGTTATGATTGAGAAACACAAAGCATACAAAAATACCATAGGAAAACACACACTTAAGTCCCTGCTCCAATAGAGACACGGTGACACCCATGACATTGCACAAGACTAGTGAAAATTTGGTAATCAGTCACCTTAACTGATAAGCCTAAGAATTTATTTTTAGAAAAGGCAGAAATATTTTCATGCAATAATCAAGGTAACATATCAGGCAATAATACTCTTAAATCAGTAATCTGTGTTAAATTGTGACATTGACTTTCGTGCTTAATACTATCAGTTCACATCAGCTCTTTTTAACTAATATTTATACTGTCTTCTAACATGTCTAATGTTTATATAATTTTACATCACTGTCCAAAGTTAGGCCAGGTTTGAGCACTCACTGACATGTTTATCTTTGCCTCATTCTTTATGTGTCTGTCCCAAACCACTTGTTGTCGTCTGCCATTATTGTTTTTCATTTAATGTCATTACCACTAGTTATAATCCGGCTACCAATTTTTTTTTCCTTTTGAATTGTGTCACATGTTGCTTTGATGGTGCATTTCATTGTTTACTATCCCGTATTTATTTTTCGTTCATTGTTTGAGTGCAGTAAGGTGATCAGTAGTCATGGTAGTTGTTTGCAACTTGTCATTTAGTGTTTGTTTTTATAGCTATCTTATTAAATGTACAATCATTCAATGTCTTATGTTTATAATGTATTGTACTAGGAAAATACTGTATACCTGTTTCATTGAGTCTATTCTGTTGTGAAGAGTCTGTGTCTGAGCAATGATGACATCTGCTGAGCTGTCATGTGTCTTCAACCGAGTTACTAAAATCTTGGCATCATTCAGTAACTTCTCAAAATTAAGAGCCATCTATAAAAAGAAAATAATTCTGCTGATTTTAATTTCATATTCATTCACTACAGCTTTTAATACATGTACATTGTTGATCTTATAAACATGCCAGTTATGTTTATATTGATGTTCAAACATAATGATGTTTTCAGTATTTTTTTTGTATTTTTCAGGCTGTTTACTTTCTCAAGTCATGACCTTGACCTCAATTTTAATGGTTCCTTTGTCAATGTTTAACATGTTTAATCATAATCTTGTTTTATGTTTTCAGTATCATATAGTAAACAGGTTTAATAGGGAAATGACATGTAGGAAATTCAAATCACACTATACATGCAGTGTTCTCCACAGGGCCTTTTCACATCATGGTAATGTGATGCTATTTGAATTGATTTTCTTATTGATTATGTTGTGGATGTGATGCTACATTATTTTTAGAAACAAGATGATATTTAAAGTTTCCATTTTTACCGGGATGCTAAATGATATAAATGTATCTGGGGAGACAACTGATATGTATATCATTAAATAGATATAAGAAGATGTGGTATGAGTGCCAATGAGACAACTCTCCATCCAAGTCACAATTTATAAAAGTAAACCATTATAGGTCAAAGTACGGTCTTCAACACGGAGCCTTGGCTCACACCGAACAGTAAGCTATAAAGGGCCCCAAAAATTACTAGTGTAAAACCATTCAAACGGGAAAACCAACGGTCTAATCTATATAAAAAACGAGAAACGAGAAACACTTATGAACCACATCAACAAATGACAACTACTGAACATCAGATTCCTGACTTAGGACAGGTGCAAACAAATGCAGCGGGTTTAAACGTTTTAATGGTACCAAACCTTCACCCTTTTTCTGAAACAATAGTGTAACATCACAACATAGAAAGACACACTATAAAATATCAACTGAAATAGCTTAACTCAATCAAAGGACATATTAACACCAGTGAACATACACTGAACAAATAAATTTGACCTATGAGTATGATACAATGTAAATACAAAATAAATAAACTAAGGGAAGAATAATAAAAGTAACATGTTTTATCGGTATGAAATGATAAACAATTTAAGAAAAACAATATGCTCGAACAAAAATATCAGCCATTTGCAATTATTTTAAACACAAATAAATGAAAATAATTTTGTTGTTAGGTATATGTGTACAGTTCCAATAGAGAAAGGAAATATTTTTACAAAATAAACAATTTTGATGTTCATAGTACGAAGTGAAAATTTATAGTAATACCAAACACTTATCAAAGCTGGTATATAGAGTTTATAGACCAGATATAACCCTGAATAACATTAAATAACAAAAAAGCATTACAATTAGTATCAACAGGTCAAATAAACAAGAAAGTACGATTTGAGAGTACTCGCAGTTACTGACAGCTACATTTTGGTGTAGTTAAAAGCCAAAACAATTAATAATAAAAAATCATGCATCAGAGACTAAAATCAACTAAAACACATCCCAGGGATTTAGTATTTTAACGTCATGGACAGTCAAAGAAAACATGACTTGTGCAATGCCAAAAATAAATCGACAGACAGTAGGATAGTTAGGAGTTTAACCTCTTTATATAGTTATGTTGTAATTTGCTGATGACAAAATCGATATTAGTGCCAATGTAAACTATACATACTATATTCAAAAATCTAATTACAACATTGGTAAGATAACCTTTACTAATAAGTTTGTTTAAAGGTTCATTTTGACACAATACCAAGAAAATACATGTACAGTGTAACTGTGTAACCTGTGTTATCTGACACACTGAAGGACCAGAAAAAAATGTCGGATTAAGCAGGGTGTCGGAATACTCAGGTTTTTTCTGCAAGGATAGGCATATTTTGGGACCATGAAAATGTGTCGGTTAAAGCAGGATGTTGGAATACTCAGGTGTTGGATTAGGCAAGTTACACTGTATATGGTTTATAAGCAGTCAGGGATATAACTCTATAGGGTTATTACAGAAAATATCTTGCATGTGTTATTACAGATACTTTCATGAGTTGTCTACTCTTTAATCCTTAAGTTTTCTAAATCTGTAGTAACAAATTTTTTTAAAACTGTAACATATGTTTGTTATTTGTAAAATAAATCATAAATATTTTAATTTTTAGTGGACTCTAGGGAACTCTTGAAACTTTGCGCAGAAACTAAATGCATAGCCTTGATAACTAATTTTCGAATTAAATGAATACATTTTTCATTAACCATGGTAAATCAATGAGACAAGGCTTTTAAGGGATAAACTTAGCTGTAATAACAAGGCTAAGTTGTTAAAGGCATGTAACTTATTATATGAGACACATGGGAATTACTGGGAAGCTTGCGCAGAACCTCATTACATGCTCTGATCATTATTTCTTACACTAAATTAAAATACATTGTAATTAAGCATGATGTATGTCTGAGCAAATGCTTTGGAGAGATGTAGAGAAGCTGTAATAACACCCTTTAGTTATAAGGAAAAAATATGCCTGCAATAAAAAACTGTTATTGCAGGTATATTTTTTTCTGTAATAACATAGGTGTACTATGCATGATTGGCAATCTATGAATTGTTATATCTTTCTATAGTTAAGTATACATAATATCTTTCTATAGGTAAGTATACATAAAGACAATAGTAAATATCAATAGAACTTGTATACATTTTAACAAAAATATATGTTATTTATATATACAATGTATGTTATTTTTCTCTAATAACCCTATATAGTTATATCCTTGACTGATAAGGGAGATAACTCAACAATTTTCAAGATATTAGAATATATTCTTATAACACCAAAAAAACAAGAAATATCAAGTTTTGGGGTATGGATCAAGCCAAAAAACAGTCATATTTACTAGTCATGACTGAATTTAAATACAAATGACTGACATGAAATTCCCTCAGTTAAAGACAGTTACCATGGTTACATTTAGTCAAATTCAATATTGAAAATAGTTGTAAGATTGGACTTTCCAACGTTCTTTTGTCAAAAATTTATTATTAATTTAGTTTTTTAGTTTTCATTTACTAAATTCAATACTATGCTTTTCTGAAATGAAACTGTCACTCAGTATTGTATGATATTCCACACGGCCAAAGTTAAATGTTTTAAAGCCTCAGGAACATCAAGTTGTGATAGCTTATAACTTTAAGCTGTGTTGACTTCTGACAGGAGAATATATTGATAATTTTCCAATTATTTACTTCATTATGCAAAACCATTTTAGCTAATTAGGCTATCAATAACTTTCAAAATAAAAACTTATTATTCAATTACGTAGCAAAAAGAGTTTTTCACAAGTCGAAATACCTTACATATTAACATTGTAATTACCCTTTTGGGATATAAATCTTTGATTTACAGTGTAAATATGTTATTGTTTGGATCATTTTAACCAGATTTGGTTAATGAATTTGAAAATGAATAATTTGCTAGGTTGATCCCTCTGTAATATTAAAGTAAAATCACAAAAATACTGAACTCCGAGGAAAATTCAAAACGGAAAGTCCGTAATCAAATGGCCAAATCAGTGGAATAAAAAGGTTTCTGTAGGATTCTTTATGGGTGGATCTTGTAGTAAACTGTCTCTGCTGTAAAAATTTTGCGATGGAATGGCAATATTTTCATTTACAATTTTGTGAAACTTTATAAGCCTTATTCTTAGTCTGCATTCTTGCAATGTTTACCAATTCATGGTGTTTAACATCTCAGACACACTGCTGGCATTGTGATGTATCTTGCACACATACCTTGCCACCCGTCTCTGTACTTTTTCTAGTGATCTTATATTTTCATTTGTAAATGGGTCCCATACAGTACAACAGTATTAATTCTTACTTTGGTTTTATAAGTGTTTTGTATACTCTTTCTTTAAATGTTTGTGATTCACTGACAGTGATTGTACTTTAAGATTTCTTCTGATGAACATGATGAATGTTGTAGACTGGGAGATATAAATGTAGTCTAACTAGTTAAGTTAGGGAAGATCTTCTTTGGCTCAGTTGGTTAGAGCGCTGCCTTTAGATCCCGAGATTGAGGGTTTGAAGCCCGCTGGTACCATCCATGGATTTTCACAACAATGGCGCTGCGAGCGTCTACAAATTATGTACCACTGGTACAACGTACATAGCAGTTAGATATTATTTCATGAGGTTTGACCAGGTCATACTAGGATGACCCTGACATGTCTAGGTGACATGCTAGGAACTATTCAGAGGGTTTCCGAGCGGAAGACTCAGGGGATGTACAGTGGTGGACATGTGAGATGCTAGGATGGATTGTACCAGCCCATACCTGCCAACCCTCCCGCTCAAATGGCGAAATTCAGGAAATCTCCCACTTGCTGGTACCCTCCCGCGCGGGAGTATAGAATCTCCCGCTTTTGGATATTTCAACCTTGAATGACAAGTCAACAATAATTACGTTTTTGTGTCACTGATGAGGGTTGTTTTTACCTGCAAATCACAGACCATGTGAAATTAAATGGCTTCATTTGACAGCTTGGGTGTCAAACATAGTACTAATTAACGACTTTTGCTCTTCAAAGAAATTTCGGGTTACATCCCCTGTTTAATCCTGTTTTAAGTTAACCTTCTTAAAATAATGTGAATTGATAAAACAATATAAACTAAATACAAATTAAACAAAAAATCATAAAAGGATGGCAATTAAAAGATTTTGTATGCCTTAAGACAAAAAAAATAATTATATTTTAAAGATATCTTAAAAGATCTATGGCAGATTCCATATAAGAAAGTGAAACAACTCCCGTAAGCACGTTAGGAAAAAATCATAAGCAATGAACTTCTGTTTTTGAATACATGCTTTACTAATAAAGATAAAGACAATTTGACCAAAAAAAAAATTATGAGCATCATCCTTTTTAAATAAACGAAGCCTTAAATATTATGTTTCTGACATAAGATTTGACAGACTTTATTGTTTCAGACATAAGATTTGACAGACTTTATTGTTTCTGACATAAGATTTGACAGACTTTATTTTTTCTGACATAAGATTTGACAGACTTTATTATTTCTGACATAAGATTTGACAGACTTTATTTTTTCTGACATAAGATTTGACAGACTTTATTATTTCTGACATAAGATTTGACAGACAAATTGAGTTTCTGACATAAGATTTTGACAGACTTGATTCTGACATAAGATTTTTCATACATAAGATATTTTGACAGACAATATATATTTGTTTTTTTTTGACTGACATTGGAAATCCAATCCCAGTTGAAAGTCATTTTTAAAACTCCTGGAAAATACTGCAGCCTAACATCTAACAAGATTTCACTACAGGTCAAAGAACTTTAACTGTTAGCACATTCAAATGTTTCAGACATAAGAAAACAAGTTTGACAGATCTTATGTAGGAAACATATAAGTTAAAACTATTGCTTGAATAAAGTTAAATGAAAGAATCAACATGTGTTTTTTCTTATGCACAGCATGACTTACAGTTTTAACTGGCATATATTGGAACCTACAATGATTTTGAAAGTTTTTACAGCGATGTTCCTGACATAAGATTTATTGACAGACACTGAGCTATAAAGCAAGATATTTGAAAGTGAAAAAAAATATATATCACAGATGATTTTGACTAAAAAAAGTAACAAATTTGGGAACAGGGATGTTTGAATAACCAGACTACACTAGTAAATACCAGTATACAAGTGTCAACATAAAGCATTGCAACACATAAACATTGTGTAAAAAAATGGGAATTATTTCTGTCAAAATTTTTGCATTTTTTCAACTTGTTTTAATCATTTCTACTTTAAACGGAAACAATCATATCCAAAAATTATTTTTATAATTTCTTCTAACATCATTATTCCTCAAAACATTCACAGATTATCTTTAAAATAACAGTAATTATTATTTTTATGTATTTATTCATTTTGACAGACATTTCAATTTCTTATATGGAATCTGCCCTATACTTCTATTCAATGTTTATATTGAAATTTATAAGAAATGTAATTGAACCAAATTAAGTGAAATATATAAGTGCACACACTTAATACACCATCTGAGACAACATGATTGCACTCTGTATCATACAGAGGTATCTGGGGTGAAAAGTTGTCCTGATTGGATTCAAATGTCAAAGATTATGAAATAGGAAAGAAACAAACAACACACCTTCTCAGTCTTCACGCTTAACCACAAGTCCTACAGCCCAGGCTTGTAAAATTGCTTTCAGGCTTGTAAAATTCTTCTCTACAAGCCAACAGAATACAACTAAAATTTTCAAAAAATTGAGCTTCGGGCTTGTGGACTCAAAAGTTTATCCTGAAGGCTGCCTTCTGTAGGATATAACCATAATTAAAGAAACAAAGTATATCTATTAACTCTTATATGTATTTTGTAGATGAATAAATAAACACATCATATATTTCACTTGAAAATGTCGTTCACACAAAATCTCCCCCTCAGCTGTCATAGCTGAGAGGGAGATCTCCCTCTTTGAAGGTTTCAGAGGTTGGCAGGTATGCCAGCCCGAAAAAAAGATAAGGGGGAAGAGTGTTGTAGACCTGGAGATATAAAGGTAGCCTAACTAGTTGAGTTAGGGAAGATCTTCTTTGGCTCATTGGTTAGAGAGCTGCCTTTAGATCCCGAGATTGAAGGTTCGAATCCCGCTGGTACCATCCATGGATTTTCACAACATGAAGCATAAGGATTTATTTGCTTTAGCGGCGGTTTGTTGGATGTGGGTGTTCCATTTCAGGTCTGCAGAGATGGTGATACTTAAGTATTTTGCATGTTTTACTGTTTCTAAGATTGAGTGGGTTCTGATTTACTAAGTTGTTTTCCAAAACATAATTGTTTTACCTTCTGTCAAATAAACAGGAAGTTGATCTTAGTCATAGGATGTCATAAAACCATAGTATACGATCCCGATCTTTTTTTATTTTTTCTTGAAAAAAGCAGATGAGATACTAATATGCTGTTTTTAGGCCTTAAAACGTTGTAAAATGTAAATGCAAATGAAAACATAAATGCAATAAGCTTCTAGCATAGCACATTATTGTTTTACTTTTAAATTATTGATTAAAAACATAGGAAAGTAGCAATTCAAATTGATTTCAACAGTTAACACGTCCATCTATGATCATCGAACGTAAGTGTTATTTGGTTGTATAGTGAATTTTTTATTTTTAATTATTTTTTTTTTAGAAAAGTGCATTTCATTACATACATCTGATGGTATAAATAAAATAAGATAATTTAAATTGTCCCTAAATTCACATTCAGAAACAAATGACAAATGTTACGGGCGACAAAAATAAAGTAATCAAATGTGTTTTTCCAATAAATATATTCTTATCAAAGACTTTAATAGTATGTCATACTATACAAATCGGCTTGTCCTGATGCAATCTACCATTTGCAATATACAGATATACTCGTGCTGAACATGTATGACTAGAAATATTTGGCACTGGACGTTAAGCAATCAACAATCCCGATGATAAGGCACATAACTCCTATATATTTACTACCAAACATATCTACATGGACATTGCCTTACAATGTCTCTCGAAAAGGGGAGTATTCTTTTAAATGAAATAATTCTACAAAAGATGTATTTTCAATCATATAGCCGGTAAATTGAATCAATGCCGTGATATATAAGATATCACTAAGTGTCTCGTCTGTTCCAACAATTTCACTCATAAAAAACACTTCACCATCCACTAGAAGTTTATCATAGACAATTTTTGCGTGTCATTTTTCTCCTTCATCATCTGGATAAGCTGTTTACGTCTTCCATTTCATTTCCTGTGGATACTGTTGGTAGACAAAAAAAATGTGGTTTGTTTCCTAGTTTTTTTTGTAGCTACCTTTTATACAGAGAGAAACAGAAAATACCAAAATTTCCACTACAGTAAGATCTACAAATAAGATAAAATGCTTGTTATATTGTCCTTAATTGACAATCCTTTATCCATTGTGTTGCAGGATTCTTTTAGGAACTATATCTAAAAAAAAAAGGAACTGTAAAAGAGCAACAACAACAAAATAAAACCAGCAAAATTTATCCCTTTTTATCTTTAAATGATAAATATGTCCAGAAATGTGCCCTAGGGCATAGCTATCAAAATCAACATATCAAAATTTATACATGTAACTACTACATGATAATGGTTATGTTTCAGTACATATTGGAATTCAGTAGGATCCAGATTCATTCTAGTACAAGTAGGAATTCAGTAAGATTCGGAATCCTCCTAGTTCAATATAAATAAGAGGTGTGGTTTGAGTGCCAATGTGACAACTCTCAATTTTGAATTCCAATTTGAATTTCTACTGTCTAGGGATATTGGAATTCCAATTTGTACTTATGAGGATTCTAAATCCTACAGAATTCCAATTTGTACAGAACATGCAACATTTTATCATAAGCAACATTGACAGTCTTCATACTCTAAGTATTAAAGATCCAGATCAACTCCGAAAAATGATATTGATAGGAGAGCCGGGGTGTAGTAGCTCTCCCTTGACACCATTTGCGAGTATGGTATTGAGAAACGATGACGATAAATGGCTGACCAGTGTTAAGAGAGAGCAATATCTATTGTACGTAAAAGACACCCTTGTAGATTTCGAAAAAGAGCAGGCTAATGCCGCTACAAGGCAGCACTCGCAGCAGCAAAGTAGTAAGGGATTAATATAAGTTGTAATAACATGTTTCTCAATCAACTATAAATAAATATGTTTAAACTAAATTAAATCAATTGACAATTTCCATACCTTTGTTTTCAATAGATATAAGAAGCTGTGGTATGAGTGCCCATGAGACAACTCTCCATCCAAGTCACAATTTGTAAAAGTTAACCATTATAGGTCAAAGTACAGTCTTCAACACGGAGCCTTGGCTCACCCCAAACAGCAAGCTATAAAGGGCCCCAAAAATGACTAGTGTAAAACCATTCAAACGGGAAAACCAACGGTCTAATCTATATAAAAAACGAGAAACGAGAAACGCTTATGAACCACATCAACAAACGAAAACCACTGAACATCAGATTCCTGACTTAGGACAGGTGCAAACAAAGCAGCCGGTTTAAACGTTTTAAAAACCTTCACCCTTATCTGAAACAATAGTGTAACATCACAACATAGATGTAACATCACAACATCACATAGTGTAACACCACAATATCACAACAAGGTTGTCTTCTTCTTCTTTGATATAATAGTTACACTCAGTAATGAGTACTCAATACTGGCTGATCATCTTTGTTGTATGTAGGTATTTTGTATCTTTTGTAGTAAGCAACATTAGGGGGGCTCAAAAATTGTTTGTTATGGAAGGTAACTCTTGTAAGAAGTCGATCCACAACTTCTAGTATGCTCACGTATTTGTAGATCTTATCTTGCTGATCGTTTTGCAGTTTACAGTTTCTCTTTGTTTATTGAAATTATCAAGAAATAGCAAAAAGGGATAAAAATTGTCATTTAAGTGCAATAACTCCTATAAGGGTTCGAATGTTGATTTCGGTCATTTTTTACTTTATTGTTGATCTTGTCTTCCTGATCATTTGTGCTGTTTAAAGTTTCTCTCTATCTCTAACAGTTTTCAAGATTGTAGAAATTAAACGTGCGTGTGTTAATCGTCTTTATGGGCAATAAATATAAGATGTCGACTGACAATTTCGGCGATATTCAATAATTTGTGGATACTTTTAGGCTGATCATTTTGTAAGTATTAACGCTTCTCTCTATCTTATATAAGAAATAGTCAAAAAAGGCAATATGTTGATTAAAAAAAACCAAACAAATTGAATGAGGGCTTATATAATTTATTTGTAGAAATTGCCTTGATAACCTATTTGGTATTTAATTACAGTTCATAAATAAGAAGATTTAGTATGATTACCGACGAGACAACTCTCCACAAGAGACCTTGCTATTAATTCAATGGAATATGTAGACAGCTCTCTCACAAGCAAAAAACCATAACTGTAAAATATAAGGGCATACATTTCTATCTACGATAGTTATCGCAAAAAGGCAAGAAATGGGTAATATCAACAACAAAAGGCAAGAAATGGGTAATATCAACAACAAAAGGCAAGAAATGGGTAATATCAACAACAAAAGGCAAGAAATGGGTAATATCAACAACAAAAAGGCAGGAAATGGGTAATATCAACAACAAAAGGCAAGAAATGGGTAATATCAACAACAAAAGGCAAGAAATGGGTAATATCAACAACAAAAGGCAATATTAAACGTTTATCCTATACTGAGTCAACTGACGATTTCGACCACATTAAGTTATTAATAGTAGATGTTGTTGCGGTTTGGGGTCCCTCTCTGTCGTAGTTTTCAAGATTATAGCAAAACAAGCAAAATTGGGTAAATATCACCAATTAAGATCATTCAAGGTCAATAACATTTTTCAAGAGTTGATTTACAATTTCCGTCATTTTGATGTATGTGTAGAGGTGTCTTGCTGGTCATTTTCAGTTTTGTCTATTGATTTTTTCCCTCACATATAGTTTTAAAGAAAATAGCCAAGACACTATGACAAATTGACTTTTAAAGGGTGATAACTCCAAAATGGTCGTTCGATTTTTCTGAAAATTAATTGTTTTTTACCCATGCAAGATCATGTCAGTTTTGCTCTAACTGCTTAATAATAATAATAATAATAATAATAATAATAATAATAATAAATTATTTATTTAAAGAGGGTAGCTAAATTAAAACTAGTCTAATTTTCATTGAGGCCCTCAAACAAAATACATGTATACAGTTAACATTCATACATTAAAATACAATATATATTACTAGTATATATACACATTTAATCATCCAAACATACAAATGGCAATAATTGATAAAGTTTTCATTAAGTTTTCATGTTCTAACCATAAAAGAAAGAAAACAAATTATTCGATTTGCATTGAATTTTCAAGAAAATGATTATAACGATGTTTCTTGAATAATTCCACATTACGACAATTTTTTATTGTGAGTGGTAAATTATTCCATACCTTGGTTGCAGAATAATGAAAAGATTTGTTATAAAAATTTGTATTTGGCCTTGGAACAAATAGATCATTATTAGAGACAGATCGTAAGTTGTAGTGTTGAACATCATTAATATTTAGCATTGCTAAGTAATCAGGTGTTAGTCCATTTAAAGCTTTTTTTGAAGCTTTATGATTCTATCTGAATCTTTTTGTAATAAATTTCCCCAAACTGAACTACAATAGTCTATATATGGTAGAATATATGCATTATAAAATAGGTGTCTTGCGTGTATAGGCAAATATACTTTAATTTTATATAAAAGTGATATTTTAGATAAGATAATCTTACATATACGATCAACGTGGTCTTCCCAGCTTAAATTTTCATCAATGTCAATTCCAATTGCAAGTAATTTGAAAGTATGGACATTCTCAATACATGTTTCGTTGACGGTAATACATAATTCTGATAGTAGTGTAAGTTTTTGTTTTGAACCCAATTTCATACACTTTGTTTTTTGTGCATTAATTTTCATACTGTTATTGTTACACCAAGATTGTATAGCATTTACATCATTTTGCAATATGCTGTTTATTTTTTCAATGTTCTTATCATGAAAATGCAATGTTGAATCATCAGCATATAAATCCATGTCGGATTGTTTAACATGAAGTGGTAAATCATTTATATACATTAAAAATAACAGAGGACCTAAAATAGAACCTCGAGGCACTCCATATTTTACAAACGATTTATCAGATTTAATGTTAGCGTA